TCTTTCTGATTCCTATATACAGGTACGTGAACTAAATACAGTCTACAGATTTAAGTCTACCATAGGTGAATTTTGAATTTTGGTCCTTCAATGATAACCACTTTGAAAAATTTTGAAGATACATGTACTCTGCGCAAATAATTTTGTTTTCATTTGTTTTGTTTGCTTTGGCCTTAAAGCCAAACTTACAATTTTTAGGTAAGGAATCTCTCTTCCACAGAAAAATTGAAAAATATGTGAATAATTAAAGGTTAACTGTATGTATTTTTATTGATTCTATTCCAGATTTACGAGTTACAAAAAGAGTAACTGATGTACAAATAGCTGATGACAGTAGCCTTACGGAACTTCAACAACACTGTTGGGAGTTGGACATTGTTTGGCCTTGTTGTAAAGCATGTCTTCGGGTCCACTCCTCCCACTAGATTTGTGTCACACGCTCAGCGTTGACATTGATGGCACAAAAAAAAAAAAACGAACTGGCAATAAAATCACTTAAGAATATGGTGTCAAATAGCTCTCTATCTGTGTGTACAGGTATTGCCACTTTTCATTTGATGTCATCATTTTCCAAAATAAGAAATTACCAATACTTCTGAAGGTTTTAGTTTCATCAGATGTAAGACCCTTCAATAACTTGATGTTTTGCAACGTTTAAGCTTGACAGGGTTCTCATTATGTAATAAAGCAGGTTTGAATTTCCAAGGTTATGCGTTGCGTGACATTAAAATGGCGGCCTGATAAGGCTCTCGAGTAGTCAAAAAAGATGAGTTATTACACAAGTTTTTGCTAACTAAACAGTTGTTGCCCTAGAAAAAGGATTAATTTCAATGTGTCGCAGCTCTAGTGTAATAACTTTTCGTTTCAATGGCAAAACTCAATGACAGATGTTTCTGTTACCTTAAGGCCGCCATGTTTGTGTCCCTCCGAGGGGCACAAACATGGCGACTCCATACAAAGCTCTATAAATTTGTGTGAAACACTTCTCCAAATAACGGGAGAATGAAAAACTGCACAGACCTAAATCTTGG